CCCCACCATTCCCACCATGTGACACCCTGCATTGCTGTAGAGTCACCTCACCACATGCGTTCCCTGGACTTTGAACTTCCCAGCCTCTGAAACTGTAAGCAGTAAATATTGTTTTTTATAAATTACCCAGTTTCAGATATTTCTGTTATAAGCAACAGTAACAAACTAATCCAGTGGGAAAATAAGTACTGTCCCATTTCCATCTCTGCGGAGGAAGTAATCATCCTTATGGAGTTTCTAATGTGTTTTTCTAGAATATTATATAGGAATAATTAAATTTTTAATGTACATGACACTGTAAAGATAAACACTAAGGATTTTTTGTCTGGAAAATTTGTGTTTTGTTCTTGGAAGCTCACATGCAAATGAAATATTATGGTTTGATGAAAACTTAAGGTCATGTCCCAGGTTTATCTCTGAAATCAATTTTAAATTTGGTAAGGATAGCACCCATTCAGTAAAGGAAAAATAAATCTTATTTTTATCATCAGGAAAAAAGATAATCTAATTTCAGTCATGTTGCTCTCCTTTCTCTCTTCCTTCCTTATTTCTCTCTTTTATTTGATACATTTATCATCACTTGTATTGCAGGGAATATGCTACATCCTAGAGAATGGAGATATAGAGAATAGAGAATGGAAAATGATTTCTTTCCCCCAAGGATTCATAAGGGGTTGTGCACAAATAATTATAATTTAGTATGGACTGTACAGTAATAAAATATGGACAAATTACTTTTGTACATGTGGGAGGCTAAAAGCCCCTCTTGAAGATGCCCTAATTTCTGTAGATGTTTTTCCAGTCATTTTATGATATCACTGAAGCAATTATCTGTGTTTAAGTAATATTTTCATTTAGTGCTGCCTAGTTCTACAGGTGAGTGTGGGGAAAGTGGGTGGATTGCTGTGTTGTCTGAGACATCTCAGCTGGAAGACTGTGAATACTCAGGCCGGAGGCTCAGAATTCACAAGCTCAGGTTCCTGTCTCTGATGTGGTGAAGCTGCCAACAGCTCCTCTGAAGTCAGAGTCTTTCAGAGAATCAGAAGAGCAGCACAACAGTGTTTGGATCAAAGAGAATGTGTTTTAATTTGAGATGAAGTCACTTAGGAAGGGCCTGAGCACTGGCATTGCTAGTGGTCATACTTCTCTGCTCTCAGAACTGTGGACCAAGTGAGAACAGATAAAAAAGATGTCAAGTGAGGATAAAAATTGAGTGTGCCCTTTATTCCTGGTGACTTGGACCTGGAAAAGGTGGGAGACTGATAAATCTCTTCTGCTCTGCATTGATCTGGCTTACCTGTCCAGTCACAGGAGGGACAGTTGGAATCCCTGAGAGCTGCCTTGAGGAAGAAAAAGCAAGGAGGATGACTCACCCACACTGTTCTAGGCCAGGTCAAGAGAGTAATGGCAGGTGTAAGAGGCATGACCTGCTTCTGACTTGACGGAGCCTTGAGAAACAAGTTTATGGCTCTCTGGTTGTATATTAAACCTTTAGGAGCAGAATCCTTTCAGATTTCTGGGCTTCTATCTGCTATAAAATTATTACCAATGTAGACCTTGGAAAAACTCCAAATATCTAATTCATTGCACCCTGCCCCTGAGGGTTGGTTAAGTAACACAGGGCCAGACCAAAACTTATGTCTACCTTGATTTCTTCCATTGCTTTCTGCAGACCTTAATCAAGTGCTCTGCCCACACTGTAGTCAGAGGCCTTGGGAAGATAAATTTTCTCTGGGCCAACTCCATTCTTGGAGCATCAAATGATGGTAGAGTGGTCTGAAGCAGTGCTTCTCAAGCTGTAGCATGCCTAAGTACCTCTGGGAACAGTAGTTAAAATATTGATTCTTTTTTTGATTTAATTTTATTTTTTGGCAGCTGGCTGATACAAAGATCAAACCCTGGACCTTGGTGTTACCAGCACCATGGTCTAACCAAATGAGCTAACTGGCCAGCCCTAAAATGTCGATTCTCTAGCCCACTTCCGGAGATCCCGAGTCTGTAGATCTGAGGTGGGGCCTGTTAGGAATTTGCATTTTTAAGAAACTCCCAGTTGATGCTGATGCTGCTGGCGCATGAACCGTACTTTGAGACACACTGGTTTAAAGCAGGGGTCAGCGAACTATGGTTTACGGGGCCAAATTTACCTGCTTGTTTTTGTAAATGAAAATTTTTGAAACACAGCCAGGCTTATTTGTTTCCATATTGTTTATGTCTGCTTTCACACAGGGAGAGCCAAATTCAAGTTGCTACAGAGACCATATAGTTAATAAAGCCTAAGATATTTGCTATCTGGCTCCTAACAGAAAAAATTCCCTGAATTTTTTGCCATTCTAAAACACTGACTTTTTAATTGAATAACTGAATAATTATTCTGAATGCATATGCTCTCTGATTTTCCGAATATGTATAGATGCTGTTTTTATTAATAAAATTCAAATGTATTAATTAATATCACTGGCTTTTTTTCTAGTAACATTTTTTCAGTCAAGAACTAATTAACATGTAATTACTATTATGTGGAGGCCTAAAAGTCTTTTTTCATTTAATTTTTTTAATTAACATGTACTAATTGTGCATCTTTATGGGGTACAGAGTTATATTTCTATACATGTATACTATGTGTGATGATCAAGTCGGGGTAATCAGCATATTCATTGCAAAAATTTACTATTTCTTTTTTTTCTCTTAGGAGTATACTTTTGTAAAAAGTTTACCATTTCTTTGTGATGAGAGCATTTGAGCTTTTCTCTTTTAGCCATGGAGAACATACAATAAATTATTGTTAGTTATAGATGCCTAACACTACTCTACAACACTAGAACTTACTTTTCCCATCTAGCTGTGATTTTGCACCCATTAACCATCCTTTCTCTATCCCCCCTTCACCCTCCCTTTCCCAGCCTCTAATGACCACAGTTCTACTCTCTACTAAGAGTCTTTTCATGTTTAAAAAAAAGGGGACAAGGGTTCTTATGCTCAAAAAGTCTTTTTCAGGACTTCAGATGGTTTGCTTTTTGGTTTTTTTCACTCATTGAAGATAGAGGGAGACCCTGAAATGTCTTATAAACTAGGTATATTCTGGAATAGAATTGAATCATTAGATTAGTTTTGAATTCAAGCTACTTCCTGGAGACCCTTCAGAGTAGAATGACAGGCACCTACCATGGCAGAAATTCATCTTGTTTGCTTCACATGAGAAACATTCACAGGGATGTGATGGTCAATGATATTTTACCTAAAATGACCTAAAGTATTTATATACTCTGGCACTGCCACATAATTGAACTGAAACCTAAAAGGAGATCCTATTCCTACTCCAATAGTAATGTATATTTACCCTGGATGCGTGTCTTTTTGGTGCATAGACCATGTGTTAAGCAAAACGACTTTACTTTGATCATGTCATTTACTCTTATGAAAATGTTTCCTTAGATATTGGTGTCAGGTTTTTAGTACAGAAAATACATCCAGAATATCAGTCATATTCTTTTCTTATTATAATCAGAGATTTAAATTTTGCTTTGCAGAAAAAGCTAGCTGCTATGCCTGACCACACAGATGTTTCCCTAAGCCCAGAAGAGCGAGTCCGTGCCCTCAGCAAGCTTGGCTGTAATATCACCATCAGTGAAGACATCACTCCGCGCCGCTACTTTAGATCTGGAGTAGAAATGGAGAGAATGGCATCTGTGTATTTAGAAGAAGGAAACTTGGAAAATGCCTTTGTTCTTTATAACAAATTTATAACGTAAGTCGTGTTTAGAGAATGGTTGGCAACCTCCTCCCTACCTGGGAAAATCACTTGTTTTTAGAAAGTTAAGCAACAAATATGAAATTGGAGGTTATCTACCACCACCGATAGCCAAAATTTTCCAAAAATTTTTGTTCCTGAACTATAACTTACTAAGTGTTAGTTTTTTTTTTCACCTTCCACTGTTTTGCACACACCCCTATGGAATTCTAAGTGTGGTGAAGGGGAAAGGCCACTCTACCCTCTTGAGTTACTGAGTAATCAGAATACCTGAATTTTCTGTGTCATTAGTGGTATGATAATTTGGAATTCACTTATTCTCCCTGGGCCTCAATTCCTCATCAACAAATAAAAGACTTATGGGAGAAAATCTCTGAAGTCTCTTTATCTCTAAATATCTGTGATTTTATTCTATTTATAAAGCATTGGGCAGCTGTCTACTTTTATGTAGCCTCTTTAAACCTTAATTTTCTCATTTGAGAAATGAGAGTTGTACTGCCATTTCTCTCTATCCTGTATAACCTCGTTGTCAGGTGAAAAGAGATGATAAAAATAAATATATGTATGTGTGTGATTTGTAAACAACAATATCAGTCATTACAGGTATCGCATATTAGTTATCAGAAATAGCATTGACAGGCCATTCTGATCTACAAAGGAAAGGGTATTCATTCATTTTACAAATATTTATCAAGTACTTATTACATTATTCATTTTATTATTACATTATTCATATTACATTACATTTTATTACTTATAAGTACCTTATTCATTTTACAAATATTTATTGAGTACTTATTATGAACTGGACATTGTTCTTCAGGCTGAGGATATATCAGTGAATAAAAAGAGAATTCCCTGCCCTTGTGGAAGCAGTAAGTTCACTTTATCTGGAAGGGATGCACCTGGTTTGCTGTAGGGATTTCCCTTCACTTCTGTGGTCTCTTGTTCCTCAAAAAGGTGATGAATAATAATTAACTCCTAATTCACACCTCTTAATCCACTAGGGATTCTGGTTGCCATTTCTCTTAGTTAGGAATTTTCAGTTAAGTTTTTATATATACACGATGGAGCCACTGATTCATTGGTGGTCATTTGAGCCTTTTTCAAGAACAAGAAGGGATTTACGTTGATCTCTGCAAACTCTCACGTCTTTATGTGGTCCTCTGTGTTGCCAGCAGCACGTGTAAGTAAGGTGGTCTCTGTGGGTGAGCACCCAGACCTGAGAAAGAACAAAGAGACTTGGTCTATTTAGGGAGTATTCTGACTTTAACCCTGTAAGCTTCAGTGCTTAGTTTGTTGAGTTTAACTACCCTGAAATTCCAAAATAATACTTGTGCCAAACTTTAGTGAAAAGGCAGGTTCTTAAACATGCCATTTTTGAAAAGGGTGCTGGTTCTCATCTTAGAAACTGTCATTGAGCTTTTGCTGTCATAAGATGCTTAGGACGTGTTTTCTTTTTCTCTAGCTTGTTCGTAGAAAAGCTTCCTAGCCATCGAGATTACGAGCAATGTGCAGTACCCGAAAAGCAGGATATTATGAAGGTACTGTAGAGTTGATTCTCCGCAGGGGGATCAAATGCTCCATAAGTATCCATTATTGATTTGCTCCCCTTCCTTTCCTCCTCTATTTCTTCCTCTTGAGAGTTTGAACACAGAAATTCATTCCATTAGCCACGATGTTTTGATTTCTTCTCATGCATTTAATGATCATTACTCAGCCGGTGTGGGGTGTCTAATTGATCCTGGTGAGAAAAAAAGAAAGAAAAAGATCCAAGAATGTGCTCAATCGCCTTATGGTATGAAAAAGTAATTACTTTACAACTCTTCCTAGATGTTGAGAGAATGATTTTATATTTTCCTGTACTTGTCTGAGATGGCCACTTTGGTTGGTTTTAATTATTTCTTACAGCCCTGAAACCAATAACTATTTGAAAATCAGTGTTGATTATTAAGGCAGATTTAAAGTTCTAGCTATTTATGTCTTATAGAACTGGGCTTATAGATAATAAAGTGTTGAAGGGTGGCCTGAAATACTCTCAAGTAAAAGAAAGACTGTTGCAATGCATTTATTTATCATCAACTTTTGCCACATATATAGTTTCAAATATCTCTTACTGAGAATATATCCTTTAAGATAAACATTTAAGATGTTTCCCATTTATTCGTCTTAGTTTGTGTTGATTTTATATGAAGGAAGATAAAACAGTGCATATAAAGCCAATCTCAGCATGAAATTTTAAATAACTTTTAAAAAATATTTTACCATACAATGGATAAAGGCACTCCAACCAGTTGAGTCAGGCCTGAGCTGCCGGGAAAGAGAACTCAGATTTTGTCAAATGGTCATCTATATTTTTTTAATGTCTATGCTCACTTACCTGAAGTATCATTCATTATCATGTCTTTATGTAGCATTTTCCCTCAATTATCTCACTTATTCAACCTCAAAGAGGTCTGTATGGAAACCAAAGGTCGCAGGCTGCCAAGGTGACTCTTCTACTGTAATTTAGAGTTCTTATTTTTACTTATAGGAGAAAAATTTTCTAAAAGCATATACATTTCCCTTGTTTATGCTTGTTGAATATATGGATAGATGAATGAATGAACGAATAACAAAGGACTAAGAGAACAGACATTTTGGTGAAAGAGCCTGGCTAGAGTCAGGAGACTTGGGTTCTAGTCCTAACCTGGCCACTAGCTAGTTGTATGATACTGGACAAACCCTTCAATTTCTCTAGAACTTTGTTTCCTCTTCTCTAAAAAGGGTGGTGGTCAGACTATATCAGGTTTCCCAGATTTCCCTGCCATTAAAAATCACTGGGGAAGTTGTTTGAGATCCAGATTTCCCAACCCCTTCTCTAGAAATGTTAGTTCAGCAGATCTGGGAAATCCATATTTTTATTAAAAGTGCCTCAGCTGCTTTTTATAGTCTACCCCCCTGTATAGTCCCCAATGTCTCTTCTAACTCTGATGCTACATGATTTACATACTGTGCAATGTACAATTACAAACCCACTACCTAAAATGGGGCACCTGCCTAAACAAAATGCTTATCCAACCATTAGAGTCAATAAAGTTCTTACAAAAGGGATTTGTTTTTTTCCTTCCCTGCTGAAAAGATATTTTGGAGCCCCAGAAAAGAGGTGTTTATTTTTCTGCCATCATCTTTGGTTACTTGTGACTTAATTTCTAATAAACATACCAGCTGTTTTTCTTTCTCAACTGATGATTTGAAAGAGCATACTGAAAATCCCACTAATCGATATATGTATATAGCTGTTTTTCTTTCTCAACTGATGATTTGAAAGAGCATACTGAAAATCCCACTAATCGATATATGTATATATTTTTAAAAGAAACTGAAGGAGATTGCATTCCCAAGGACAGATGAATTGAAAAAGGACCTTTTAAAGAAATATAACATAGAATACCAAGAATATTTGCAAAGCAAAGTAAGTTCAATTGGTACATTTACTTCATGACTGTTTTCTGTGCAAATATTTTTTGAATTTTCTTTTATATGAGTTTTTCAAATGTCATATGCATTCAAATTAAAAATTAATGATACAGTGAAATGAAACCAATAAAAAATTCATGTGGATACCCAGGTTAAGCACTTGCACCAAAGATGTGGTATTTATATTTCCCTACAACTTCTAATAATGCAGTGCATTAGAAAATGGATTTCCTGTGGTGATTTAAATAGAGCTTTTTGACCAACTCTTGTGAATGTAACCTTGAGCCACATGGCTGCTCTTTGCCAGATGAGCAGGGGCATTAGGAGGTAAGGAGAATAGTATATGGTTTCTGATGTGTCTAATTATGTAGACCTTGGAAATGTAAATTCTTAATTTTTATAGCATTATTATAAATGTTGTTTTGCTTTATTTCAGTGTTTATTTGCTTTGGAGTTTGCTACCTTCTCTGACTCTCACTTCAGTTCAATCTCATCAGTTCTGAAAATGGTCATGTAGCTTTTTTGACTTTCTATGGGCATGGCCAGAGGCTGGTTTTGAGTGAGGCGTTTTAACTAACTGGTAGAGGGAATGTTGAAACCAGAAGTTTCCCTGTAGTGTGGATATTAATGATTTGATTTGAAATATGAGAGATAAAAATGATCTTGGAGGCTAAGACAAAACAACAGCAAGAGAGAGAAAAGCCCAGTTCAAGTCTCCCATCCAAGCTCAGCAATGTGCGTGATCTTCCCAGATCCCCCTGGGAGGAGCAGCCTCGGCAACTGTTCCAGGTTCTGCCTTTGGTGATGCCAATGACCTCACAGTCCACAATAGTATCCCATGTAGAAATCTCCATGGGGTAGAGTGGCAGCATGTATGCCTAGGGGAGAGGAACAGACATGCCCGTAAACCCTAGCAACAGGCAGCACCAGCATCACCTGGAAGCTTATTAGAAATGCAGAAGCTCAGGCCTCCACCCCAGACCAGCTGAATCAGAATTTGCAACTCTAACAAGACCCAGGGTGATGCATGTGTACATGAAAGTGCTTCTGTAAACTACCCCCACCTTCCAGTAGATCCCAAGATCTAGTTTCTATCAAAATCATTTGGGGAGCTTATTAAAATTTTATATTCTCTCACCTAATAATGCCCAGATATTTTGTTAGGACTGGGGAGCTTGGGGCCCTTCATGTTTAACAAAACTGGTTGGTTCTGAGAGGGACGATTGCTGTACATTTTGAGAACTGTTTCTTAGTGATTGCCCCTTCTCCATAGAATGTGAGTTCTGGAGTCAAATGCAAAGGTTCTAGGGTTGCACTGTCCAACAGAACTTCCTATGATGATGGAAATGTTCCACTTGGCATTCTTCAGTACGGTAGCCATCAGCCACGCATGGCTATTGGGTGCTTAAAATGTGACTAGTGCAACTGAGGAACTGAATTTCTAATTTTATTTAATTTTAATTAATTTAAGTTTAAATAGCCACATGTGGCTGGTAGCTACTATATTGGACAGTGCAGTCTAGGAGTGAGATATTTTGTTCCATGTGATCTGGTCAATGAGGCTGAGTAGACAACACTGACCTTGATTTTTCAATATTTAGAAGTATAAGGGAATGGAGAGAACAAGTGGAGGGAATGGTTGTCATGACTTGTCTCTGGTAAAATATGAATGGATTTAGAACTGCAGTCTTCATCAGATTAAGGAGATTTTGCTGTGATATTGTGTATTTTCCTCATTGTCCCCTGAGTGTCCCTGTGGGGCATATTGCAATCAAGCTGTCTCTGTCTGCTAGAAGATTTAAAGTGTCTAATCCCAGTTTGATGTTATTGCCTTGGAAACTAACCTTCTCTTCTGGTAACTGCATTTTTTAAAGAACAAATATAAAGCCGAAATTCTCAAACAACTGGAGCATCAGAGATTGATAGAGGCAGAAAGGAAGCGGATTGCTCAGATGCGCCAGCAGCAGCTAGAATCGGAGCAGTTTCTGTTTTTTGAAGATCAACTCAAGAAGCAAGAATTAGCCCGGGGTCAAATGCGAAGTCAAGAAACCCCGGCCCTGTCAGAGCAGATCGATGGGAGCGCTTTGTCCTGCTTTTCCACACACCAGAACAATTCCTTGCTGAATGTATTTGCAGATCAACCTAATAAAAGTGATGCAACCAATTACGCTAGCCACTCACCTCCCGTGGACAGGGCCTTGAAGCCAGCTGCTGCTCTAAGTGCTGTTCAAAGTAAGTGATGAAGTGCACCCTGCAAGACATCGAGGCTCATCTGGTGTTGCCATATTTCTGTAGCATCTGGGAGAGTTCTCATTTCATTAGTAATTGTGGTAGGACCCCTACTTTGTGAATCATATGACCCAGTACTCTCTGCCTTTTACTACGTATAACCTTAAAATTCAGGAAACATGATTTGCCCGCTGATCGAGCAGAGACCCTGTAATACATAGAATTGTATTTTGTCCTTGAAAAGATTTCACATGAATAGAATTCCAAGCATTTTTTTTGTTCCATGTGTTTTAGTCATGAAGTTAAATGCTAATACTGGAAAGGAAAGATGTTGAGAAACTTGTTTGTCCAGACCTTCGTTCAGCAGTAAAACATTTATGTTCAGTATGTTCAGCATTATTCCTGAACCCAGAGAATCTCATACACGTAGGTAGTTAACCTCCAAATGGATTATGTGTTTCTGCCAACAATTAGTGCTGCTTAGTAATGCTAGATCAGTGCTGGCAAGTTTCCAAGATCAAATAGGGAATTCTTCCTGGCAGACACTGTCAGATGGAGCTTGTGTTCCCATTTATTTTATTTTATTTTTTATTTCTTAATTGTTTTTTGGTGGCTGGCCAGTTCGGGGATCCGAACCTGTGACTTTGGTATTACAAGGCTGCGCTCTAACCGGCCAGCCCCCCATTTATTTTAAGAGTTATGACAGGCAACCGTTTTGTAAATTACTTTACTGCTAATTATTTCCAAAAATGTTCTTTTGCTTACTGATAACCAGCTGTCATACTGATATAAGTAACATATGGTAAATACAATAAAGAATAATTATCCAATGTCTTATAGAATATGAGATGCATTCTATGCAGCCTATACATTTAACGGTATATTGACCTCATGCCAAAAGGTAATATGTACATACATATAGTTGATGTCGCGCACAAACGTGTAAACATACTTGTACCTTCCCATTGTGTTCATAAAATAATTTACATACAAAGTATAATTTTACCTTCTTTTTAGTCAATGTTTACTTTTAAGAGTTTTTAAATAAAATATGGAAAGTGGAGCACTGGATAATTTCATTTCTGAAATTTATATTTAACTGCAATTGCTTGCCAAAAACAATTTTAAAGGATGGGATGTAAGATTTGTTTTTTAGCTTTTTCTCTTTTTTCTCTTTCTTAGATTTAGTGGTTGAAAAACTGCGATGTGTAGTTTTGCCAAAAGATCTTTGCCACAGATTTCTGCTGCTGGCAGAATCTAACACAGTGAGAGGAATAGAAACCTGTGGAATACTCTGTGGAAAACTGGTACGGTCTTTTTTCATCTCTTTGCACAGGATGCATTAATAGTACTAGCTTTCTTGTGATAAGCAGAACAGAATAAAAGCCTGTTGAGGTGTAAATATTATGAAATTTACATAGATTAATTTCACAAAACCACTGTCATTATCACTGAAATTATCCTCTAAAAATGGATTATAGAACTTCAGGGGCACTGTAAAGCTTATTTTAAAGAATCAATTGAAGTATAAATTAAATCTGTTTAGGAAAATAGTAGATTACAGGTCTTAAGATTTCCAAATCCATCTAGTTTGCCAAGTCAAATTTCATTTAATAGCAATTCCATTGCAATTGTTAGTTTCACATACATTTATGTAATTAACTTTTTACCCGTTTTTACCTGTGGCTGGTATCACCGTGCCATCCTTTTTCAGATACAAGTGGCATAAAACTAGGATTTTGTTGCTTTCTTTAGTTTAAGGCAGTAGTTTCAGCAAACTAAAATCCATAAGCACAGGTCGTATTTAATTATGGAAGATGTTAGCAGTAGTATGTGATGAAAGACAATGTCAAAATAGGAGGTAAAAGAGAGAAGACGTATTTAATTTTCTACCTGTAACAAAGATGAATAATATTTCTTTGGAAGTGTCCGTTCTTAGTCTCTTTTGAGTATCAGTTTATATTTCTGGGTCCAGGCTCATTCTCAGTCTTCAACATTCAGCTTGGAACTGCTATTTAATTGAGTACTGTGTTTTGTTCAAGACACATTCTTCTGCTGTATTCCAGTGTTTTGTCATCACTTCCTCCAAGAGAGAGGAAGCCACTGGTGACAAGCACAGGCAAATGATCCACTGTCTCCCGCGCAGCCACCTTCGTTGTCCTTCAGGAGCAGTGTGCTCCCCCTCACCACGTGTTGTATTTAGTTTGACTGATGGATTCATTGATTGATTCATTAACTCACTCTTTCATCAGACAAACATTTACTGAGTACCCCTATGCGCCTGGCACTGTGCTAGGTATTGATATTCAGCAGTGTGCATCAGCTACAGTCCCTGACACGTGATGTTTAGACAATACTTGTGAAGAACCAGACAAATGACTAATTATAAGTGGGTTGAGGACTCCCAGTGGAAGGACAGGGCATCCTGGGAATGTGTAACTGGGAACTCTAACCTTGTCTGGGGGGCAGGGTGGTTGAGAAGGGCTTTTCTGAGAAGTTATGTTTAAGCGAGACCTGAAGAATACATAACATAGCCGTGAAAGAAGGGGTGGGGTGGAGGGGAGAGTTGCAGTCAAGGCCAAAGGAATAGTGCCCCAGTTTGCAGGAAGGCCCTGAGGCTAGAGAGAAGCCGGTGCTGTGGAGAGATAGAGAGGCCAGCCTGCCTGGGACAGACAGCTCCTCCCAGCACAAACACCTCTTACCTGAGGATGCCACCAGCCTTCACAGCCCTCTTCCTTTCAACCATTATCTGTACTCAGGGGGGTAATTTGTTTTTCCTTTCTCTTTATCTGATTGCTAATTGAAACAGTATCTTAATCATAGAAGATCCTAATGTGTCCTCCCAATATTAGAAGAAAGTCTTAAGTCTTGAAGTGAAATTAAATATAATTAGTAAAATAAAAGCAGGACCATCAACTCCACAGCCCATAGGAATGCCCTTCAGTAACACCACAAAATCACTTCACTAGTATCTCCCCCTCCAAATAAACCTGCCCTTGTTTTGTTCTGACTTTTCCATTGCAGATGTAATATATCAAGACATTATTTATTAACTAAACTTCCATGCACCAGCCTGGGAAGCTCATTCTTATTTATGATATGTTTTCTGTTGGGAAAATGGGTTTCGAGCTCTAAACAACTGACTCTCAAGCTTTTGGTGAAGAGTCCATTTTTACACTTGGGACTTTGGTTTTGGATTGTGGTGGGGGTGCGGGGGGTGAGGATGCATGCAGTGGGTGTGCTCTCTAGTCTTGTAGCAAAACATTGCACTTGCTGTTCGGGTAGAGTTTTTTTTCTGTCAGAGACTTGTTATTCGTTTTGCTAATTGTTTTTTTAGACGCATAATGAATTTACTATTACCCATGTCATCGTGCCAAAGCAGTCTGCGGGACCAGACTATTGCGACATGGAGAATGTAGAAGAATTATTCAGTGTTCAGGATCAATACAGTCTCCTCACTCTGGGATGGATCCATGTACGTTTGACCTTTTGGATTTCTGTTTATTTTTGTAAGGTGTGTTATTTTCCTCCTTAGAGAAATCTAGCTTAGGACTGGCTGGTTAGCTCAGCTGGTTAAAGCATGGTGCCGATAACACCAAGGGCCAGGGTTTGATCTTTGAACTGTCTAGCTGCCAAAAAATAATAATAATAAAAAAAGAAATTTAGCATAATTTAAATAGTTTTTTATTTTTAATTTTTTCAAGTGTAATAAATGCCATAACACTGTGAAAGTTGTCAAAATCAAAATACATTCACTTATAGTACAAAAAACTGTGACAAACAGAGCCGGGGAGGGCCGTGAAGGGGGGGTTCTCATGCATAAATGCCTGATAACAAGAACTATCACAAAAGACTCCATAAAAACCACAACTTTGCACAAAGGTCATCATACCCTTACACACAAAAAAATACATCTGCAAGATCATCTGCCCAGCAAAGTCCTGTCCAGCCTCGAATTAGCACCACCCTTGTTATTGATCCTTATAGCCAAGGATAATTATCTCAAAATAATTATATAATCCTCCTCATTATTCCTTTAAAAATCTTTGTCTCTCCTTACCTCCCTGAATACACACATAGTCTACTGTGGCACACATGTTACCATTGCAATGTCCTATTCCTCAATACACATACTTTTCTATTTAGATATCCTCTCTCTGTTTGTTATTTAGGTTGACAATATTAAAGCATTTTCTACAGTGTTAGACTGAGTGTAAATCTGTCAAGTCTCGATTTGGAGAGGGGTATCTTATGCTTTTTTGTACCATCCAAAGTTAAAAGAGAAAGAGAAAAGTGAGTAATATTTGAAAATTAGGTGATTTTTTCTGATGATTTTACAGTCTGTTGGAGGCTTAGCCAGATTTTTAACTAATTTGACTAAACAATGAATGTTTTCTTTCCTTTTCCTGTGGGTCTAAATTAGATTATTTTAAGAAAATTTCTGAAAATGTTTCTTTTAAACAGGTGTTTGTGTACATCAGGGAAGGTTCATATACTTCACTGAATCTCCCCAATAGGCCAAGGATGTATCTGTCTTTCTATAAACAGCCACAGAGTAAGGCCAGGGGGTCGGGCCAAGAATATTGGTTTCCAATAACCACCAGGCCATCACAGGAGTGGGAGAAGGCTTACGAATCAAATAGACATGAGTTTAAATCTCAGCTCTGCTAAGAATTCACTACAGGAACATTGGCAAGTTATTTAAGCAATCTGAATATCAGCTTTATCACTTATAAAAAGGGAATTATAATGTGTTAGTCTGTTTCTGTTCCTTATAACAAAATACACGGAACTGGATGATTTATAAGAAAATGAAATTTATTGTTTACAGTTCCTGAGGCTAGGCAGTCCAAAGTCCAGGGAACACAACTGGTGAAGGTCTTGGTGGTGGCAACAGTGATGGAGGGTGTCACACTGTGAAAATGGTGGAGCAGAGAGAGAGACAGACTCTTCTCTCTCTTCTTTTAAACTCTCAGTACCACTCCCCTTACTACCATTTTTAATCCCTTCGTTAGGGAGTGGTCCTACAGTCTAATCACCTCTTCAGTGCTCCACCTTTCAATTACCATAATAGGATTTCCCACCCTCTTAACAGTCACAGTGGGGGCCAAGTTTCTAATACATAAAACTTGGGGGACACAATTCAAGCTTCAGTGAGTTTGGGGGAAACATAATTCAATCCACTGCATGTAATAATTGAATTCATATGATGTTGAGTATTAAATGAGATGTTAGTGAATTTCTTAGCGCATTTTTCTAGAAATTCAGAAAATTGTAGCTGTTGTTATTGGTGATGATACACTACTTTTTAAATTTATAGTTCAGTTCATCTGGGGGACATTTTTTCCATTCAATCCCACACAGCTGGACCTGGGGTAGTGTCTTAGTCTGTTTGTTCTGCTATAGCAAAATACCTGCGACTGGGTAATTTATAAAGAACAGAAAATTACTTATCATTCTGGAGGCTGGGAGGTCCAAGATCAAGGCACCAGGATTGTTGTCTGGTGAGTATTACCCTCTGCTCCTGAGATGGCGCCTTGTTGCTGTGTCCTCACGTGGTGGAAGGCAGAGGGCAAGAGAGCATTCCCTTCAACCTTGAGCCCTTTTATGAGGATACTAATTCCACTCATGACTTAATAACCTCCCAAAGGTCAAACTTCTTAGTACTGTTGCATTGGGGATTAAGTTTCTTTTTTTTTTTTCCTTTTTTTGTCTTTTTTCGTGTCCGGCAACGGATCGCAACCCTCAGTGTTGCGCCCGTACCGGACCGGGACCGGCAACGGGATCGCAACCCTCAGTGTTGCACCCGCATCTCGCTCAGCCAGTGAGCGGGAACTGGTCTGTATGTGGGATCCGAACCCTCGGTGGGAGCGGCATCGCACTCCCAAGCGGCGCACTGTAGCAGTGCTCCACCGGGCCGGCCCGGGGATTAAGTTTCAACATGAATTTTTGAGAGGACACCATCATTCAAACCATAGTAAGTAGAGACAAGTAATCCATCCCACTGGCATGGGATGCTAGCCAAGAAGATTTTCAGGGCACATCCAAGGGAATTCTGAGAGCCCTCAAAGAATGATAAGTGATCATTTTGTATTTTACTTTCTTTTTAGAGAAGCACTGAGTAGGGGCAGCACAGATGTGCATGCACACACACACACACACACACACACACACACACACATACACACACATACACATACTTGCTACACATTTGGTGTTGTGTAATTTAGGAGGGTAAAGGAGACTTCAGTCCCAGTTCCACCTGTAAATACTGTGTGCTCTGAGTCAGGGCTCCTGACTCGGTGGGAGCGCCATCATGCTCCCAAGCGGCGCACTGTAGCAGTGCGCCACCGGGCCGGCCCGGGGATTAAGTTTCAACATGAATTTTTGAGAGGACACCATCATTCAAACCATAGTAAGTAGAGACAAGTCATCCATCCCACTGGCATGGGATGCTAGCCAAGAAGATTTTCAGGGCACATCCAAGGGAATTCTGAGAGCCCTCAAAGAATGATAAGTGATCATTTTGTATTTTACTTTCTTTTTAGAGAAGCACTGAGTAGGGGCAGCACAGATGTGCATGCACACACACACACACACACACACACACACACACATACTTGCTACACATTTGGTGTTGTGTAATTTAGGAGGGTAGAGGAGACTTCAGTCCCAGTTCCACCTGTAAATACTGTGTGCTCTGAGTCAGGGCTCCTGACTTCCTTGTTTCCAGGTTCCCTCATTGATTGAGTGAGGCTGATGAATGCCTTATGGCCTTCACTGTGTTTGTGTGAGCAGTAAACAGGATACCAGGTGTGAAAGCACTTTGAAAAGTATAAACTGCCTTTCAAATGCAAGAAATTACTTATAACGAAGAGTTTGCAATGTTTTCCATTTATCTATTTGCTTTACTTAACAGTAAAAAATATGCCTTACTGTTTGCTTGGTAATTGCTGTATTTAAAAGGCGTTTAGCTTAACATGATTTCTGTAACAAGAAAGCATTTTAAAGCGAAACAAGTCATAGCAAAGAAACTGTAACTATAAACTAAGAATGACAGTCCATTAAATCACACGCCTACATTGTCAAGTCAGTGTTACTTTACCTACAAAACATTTCCCAAATTAGAAGCAAAAGCTTTTCCCTTGTAACTTTCTGTGTATATAATTTATGCAATAATGAAGTTAAGCTGTTTAATAAATTTGGCATAATTCTAGAATTCCAGGGTTTAACGTTTTGTTTTTTTTTATTTCTTTTTGTGGCAGGTCAGTACAGAGACCTGAACCCTTGACCTTGGTGATATAAGGCCGTGCTCTAACCAAATGAGCTAACCGGCCAACCTCCTGGGACTTAGGTTTTTGTGTGATTTATCTCACTGTATCAAGTTGTAGTTCAATGAAAGCATAAAAACATTACATTTCGAAAACTCAATGGTTGTAATGATTTTTTGTGATGGTTTTTAATTTTTTTAAGACTAGTCAAGTGCAATAGTGAGAAGAGGGGGAAAGAGTAGAACAAGGATTTCAATCTGTAACTCACTGTGACAGTCAATTGAGATAACTCAGTACCTTTGGACTGGCCATAGTGATGGTTTTTATTGAGCATAATAGTAGCAACAAATCCCAGAGCTGACTTTTTTCAGGTTTAAATTAGTCATAGAAAGAAGTTCTGAATCAGAGTAGATAGACCTGGAATTGAATTTAGACCTCTTGGCTTAACTGGCTGATGAGCTTCAGCAGCCTGCTCACTCTCCTGATTACCCCACTTTCTTCATCTGTAAAATGGGGGTCATTAATAACACTGATCTCAGCTTGTAGTTATGAGGATTCAATGATTTCATGCATGGAAAGTGATTAGTGCAGTGCCTGGCACACTATTCAGTTGCAATAAATTGCACCTGCTGCTGTTATGATTACCCCACTTTCTTCATCTGTAAAATGGGGGTCATTAATAACACTGATCTCAGCTTGTTGTTATGAGGATTCACTGATTTCATGCATGGAAAGTGATTAGTGCAGTGCCTGGCACACTATTCAGTTGCAATAAATTGCACCTGCTGCTGTTATCATCATCATCATCATCATCATCATGATTTTTATTTCCGCAGAGTGATAGGATGTGGGAGCAGCATCTTCCCATGGGAGAGCTGTCCTCATCGGAATAGAAGTAATTTCTCTGGGCAGAAACAAAGGGCTTAGAAGGCCTTGTGGTGTGCATTCAGTCTGGAAATAAATTGACAGGCAGAGTGATTTGTCTATTTGACAGCCTGCTTCCTGCATCCAAAGGCACTATAGTTCCTTTACAGACTACTTACTTTTTCTTTTCTTGTCTTTCAATACATGGAAGACTGTATTTGACTAAGAAAAAAATATTCCCTGTCAAATATCAGGCTGTCAGACGCTCCCACTTACACCCCTTCTAAAGATTTGGGTTTTACTAGGGTAATTTCCATTCCTCTGTTGATCTGATAATTTTATAGAGCAAGAGTTATTTTGCAGAAGTTACCTTGCAGAATATGTATCTTTCTGCAAAGAATCAGTTGATTTTACCTTCATTCACTTAAATAAAGTAGAAAGGAGTTTTAAAATCTTGTATTTCTTTAACAGACCATAGTGTATGTAAAGGCATTTAGCTATTACTATGGACCTATGCCCTTGAGTTAATGACAGCATTAAAATAACAACAGCCATAAGTACAGCTAAGGACTTTGATTCCTTTTTATGTGTTGTTCTATGAATTTTACACTGACTGTTCCATTTAATCTTCATAACAATCTCATGAAGAAAATTATTATCCCTACTTTTCAAATGGTGAAATGAGCAAGAGATGGTTGAGTAATCTTTGCAGTGTCATGTAGCTAGTGAGTAATGGGGCCAGGACTCAGACAGTGTGTGCCAAGGACCTTTGTTTCATGATTAAGATGGTCACATTCCTTTTTCAAGGGTAATTAGGATTAAAAAGGAATTTTTAAATTATTAATGTATGTATGTATTTTTCATATGCAAATATGAATCTCTGATTTACCTCACATAAACACAAGTTTGTAAATTGCCAGAAACTTGGAAGATTTCTTTTAATTTATAATCTCCCCTTCTTTCATGTCATATAGGTATTTAGTTGCTGAGCAAGATGAGTTCCAAACCCCTTCAACAACTTGGAGACTCCTGTTCTCCCCTTTATAGGGAATGGCAATCCACAAAAGGAGACAGAGCAACATTTGGTGTATTTAGTGAAAACTTCCTTTTCGTATATATGGTTTTGAATATAAATATCTCTGGTCCAGGGTTTCCAATCACAGCACTGCTCCTGTGTGACCCAGGCAGCCCACTTAACCTTCCTGAACCACAGGCTCTCCATAAGTAAAAAGTGAGACAATAAAATAAATATCTCATAGATGAGTTGTAATAATTCAATGAGTATCTGTTTAAAGCCTCTGGCAAATTAATTTCCAGCTCTTTCTGTCCCAACAACAAGAAAGGACATTAACGCTCCTAGGAGCCTCTTCTCAAAGTTGTAGCTACTCCAAAGAAGCAAATAATAGGAATGTATAAAGGGAAGGATTATGTCAGCAAAACACTTTTTAAAATTCTTATGTGGTTAATGATGGTAGAAGAGAAACAAACATATATATAGAATTTTCTATGAGAATGGGCTATTGCTTTGGCTAAGACTCAATTACCCTGGTAAAACTGTCCTCTTTTCTTTTCGTAGACACATCCCACCCAAACTGCATTCTTGTCTAGCGTGGATCTGCACACTCACTGTTCCTACCAGCTCATGTTGCCAGAGGCTATTGCCATCGTCTGCTCACCAAAGCATAAGGAGTGAGTGTGACTCCTGCGGGGAGCCCGAGGGGAGCTTCGTCTGGGGCTGCTGGCTTCATGGGTATCCCCACACCAGGTTGTGGCACTTAGACTGACAGGCTCTAGGTGCCCTTGGGAAAAAGAAATGGGTGGCAGCCAGCTCCACATCCCTGAAGCTTTGCAGTCTTTTGCTTTTTAAGCTCCTTTCGGTGGTAGAGTGACTGGTTCTTTCTTCAGTTAATGTGACCTTGAAGCAGATAATATTTAAGAGAATGTTATCCTACTTTGTCTTTTTTTTTTTTTTTTTCCCTTTTTGTCTTG